TGAGAGGCTGAGGCAGGAGGATCCCTTGAGCTCAGGAGTTGGAGACCAGCCTGAGCAAGGGTGAAACCCCATCTCTACTAAAAATAGAAAAAACAGCCAGTGTGGTGGCAAGCACCTGTAGTCCCAGCTATTTGGAGGCTGAGGCAGGAGGATCACTTGAGCCAAAAAGTTTCAGGTTGTTGTGAGCTATGATGCCAAGATACTCTACCCAGGGTGACAGAGTGAGCCTCTGGCTCAAACAAAAAGAAAAATAAAGAGAGAGAGAGAGAAAGGAAGGAGGGAAGGAGGGAGGGAAAGAAGGAAGGAAGGAAGGAAGGAAGGAAGGAAGGAAGATAGATAACAAGTAGCCTCAATTCATAACAAAAATCCTATTCAGGAATCTTGATTTTTTCCTGATAGGAGTACTCTTGACATGTCAATTGCAATCTGTCCACCTTTCATTGGACACAAACAACTGACCTCCTACTCTAACATGTACATGAAAGTGTGCACACAAGATGCTTATGACCACAAGTGTTTTGGATTTCAGATTTTGTTTTTTAAATTTATTGTTGGGGATTCATTAAGGGTACAAGAAACCAGGTTTTACTGATTGCATTTGTTAGGTAAAGTCCCTCTTACAATCGTGTCTTGCCTCCAAAAGGTGTGGCACACACCAAGACCCCACCTCCCTCCCTCCTTCCCTTAATGAGATGTCTTGGGAATGGGACCCAAGTGTACCATGAAATTCATTTATGTTTAATATACTTCTTTCACACATAACCTCAAAATAATATTTTTTTTGAGATAGATTCTGGGTAGAATGCCATGGTGTCATACCTCACAGCAACCTTAAATTTCTGGGCCCAAGTGATCCTCCTGCCTCAGCCTCTGGAGTAGCTGGGACTATAGGTGCCCGCCACCACGTCTGGCTAATTTTTCTATTTTTAGTAGAGATGGGGTTTCACTTGTGCTCAGGCTGGTCTCTAACTCCTAAGCTCAGGCGATTCACCCATCTAGGTCTCCCAGAGTGCTAGGATTACAGGCATGAACCACCATGCTCACCCTGACAATAATTTTCTATCAGTTTTTAATAATTTTTTGTACCTATCACCTGAGGTCAGGTGTGGAATTCCTTGCTGTAGCATCACACTGGTATTGAAAAAAATTTCAGATTTTGGAGCATTTTGATTTCAGATTTTCGGATTAGGGATGTTCAACCTGTACTGTGTTGACAAGACCACGTTTAGTGGAACCTCTGGAAGGTGACGACCCAAAGGACTGTTACAAACTGGTCAACACATGGAGGTGATTACCATAAAGAAGGAGGCCTACTGTACTGATATGTATATATGGTACCTGTCTGGTCTATGAAAATTAGGTCAACTTAAGGAGGAGGACAGTGTAGGGAAGTGGTTAGTTATGGAGGTTTTACTGACTTTAATATTTTCCAGTAATTTTTATTGACATTTTTGTGGTTTAACAGATATTACAGACATCCCTTACTTAAGGTTTAATTCATCCTCTCTAGTTTGGACTGCAGCATGGAAAAAAAATTATTCCTCTGAAAAACAGTAAACGTGGTACTTTGCCTCTAAGTGCCATTGCTGAGAAATGAAAAGATGTGCTTGGTCATGGCAACCACCAAATTAAGAGCAAAGATGTTCCAGTGGGCAACTTACACTTGTTCACTGGGCCAGCAGGAAGTTCATTCATTCTGCATTTATTGGGAGGGGGGAGTATGGTGAGGGCAAGAATTGGTTTATCTTGTTCACTGTGGTATTTGTAGCACTTAGCATATGGTAGGGAATCAAAAAAGAAAGATCGGATAAATAAATGTTGCTGATTTTACAGAGACTCCAAAGATGTAAGTTTCTTCTGAGGTAGTGGGCAGGCAGAAATGGAGGTAGGGTTCAAAGTTCGGCATGATGCCAAAGCCTGCGTCCTTTCTCACATACAAACTTTTTTTTTTTTTTTTTTTTGAGACAGAGTCTCACTCTTTGCCCTGGTAGAGTGCCATGGTGGCATCATAGCTCACAGCAACATCAAACGCTTGGGCTCAAGAGATCCTCCTGCTTCAGCTGCCCACCATGATGCCAGGCTAGTTTTTCTATTTTTACCTCTTGCTCAGGCTGGTTCTCACATACAAACCTGATGCACACGTTGGCTACTTTCCAGAGTCCCACTAAGTCACCTCCTTACCTTGGAGGTGGAGGAGGGGGAGAAATGGCAGGTGGTATCTTAGTAGCACAGACATCCACAAATGCCATCAATGCCCCTTCTGAGGGAGCCCCAGAAGAATCTTACCTGGATGTCTGTCTTTTTAATCTGTACCCCCACTTCCCCCCACTAACCATATTCTAGGTATAATCTATCAGACACAGATCACCCTGCAGATGGTACACAGAAGGGCCAAGCCAAATCCTTTGACGAAGAGTCCTTACAAACAGCTGTGTCCAATCCACTGAGGCGCACTCTCCTTGCTCAACGAAACATAATCTAGTATGGCTAAAGGCATAAGGGAGCTCTGTATCCATGGCAGGTGGAGAAAGATCCTCAAGTATAAACCAAAATACAAGGTATTAACAAGAGAGATTTAACAACTACAGTTACAGTTACAAAGTGTTAATGAGTAGGGTATTCCGAGGAATGTCCTTCTCATCACCACTGGCTGCCTGGTTTGTTGGTGTGGAAATTATTTGAAACCTCAAGATGCAAAACTATGAAACAGGACAGTTTCCTGTACTATGAATGATGTCATCTTTAAGATGTGGGGCTTTCAGTGAAATGCAAGACCATTCAGGGTAATAAGTTTGCAGCAAGAAGGAGCTTGAATTTATTGCAGAGGGGAGTAAGCTGACCAAAATGCAGAGTGAAGAGAAGTAGCTAAATTATGTATGACAGTCTCTACTGAGCAGAGGAAGAAGGAAGAGGTTAATGATGGCCGCGGTTGAAGGACCAGCAGCAATGGTGATGTATTGGTCACAGGTTGGGAAGAAGAGAAATGGATCTATGAAGACCCGAAGACTATAAAGACAAGGAGGACAAAGACCAAATAGTGGATTTGGGAGGGAGAGGGAAACCCCAGATATAATAATACATTTCAGCGGCAACAAGACAGCGAAGTAAATCCAACTTGACATTAAGAATCATCATCTTAATCTATGTGGCTTTTTCAAGCCCGAGTCTTATCAGGCCAAAAAAAAAAAAAATCTATAGTTAACGATAAAGTATTTTTTCTCTTTTGCTTTGCCGGCAACCACCAAGAGCAGTACATAATTTAATTATCGAACCTACAAGCTGGACCAAGAGATGAAGAATGATGTGTCGGCTGTAGTGAGAAATTAGATAGAACCAACTGTTTATTCTCATCATTCTTCCTCCGTGAGGCTAAATTAATATAGTTAACAAGCTTTTGTTTGGATTAGTAGTTCAGATGTGGGATGCAGATCAGAACCCATGATTATTACAGTGGCTGTTATTTATAGAACACTGGGGCACCCTCAAGCCCCACGTGGAAAACAGAAAAGGGTCCTTTTGTCATTCTCTGGGGCTGAATGAAACCAATGTTAAAGGCCAGGCACCAGAGAGGGTCATGAAGTCCAAGAGGATCAGATTTAGTTACTTGGGACAGAGGACCTCAGAAGTGTCACCGATGGTCTTTCCTATTGCTCTGAGCCCTATTTTTCTGATCTTTTTTTAACCAATTGTCACACAATGGGCACGATTTCGGGGAGTTACCGGGGGAATACCAAGAGGGGTGACAAAGGTCCAAGAATGTTCGAAGGCTGGCACCCCGGGCCCCTTCTCTCATTTTGAGCGGAAACTTGCAGCCGGTCAAGCGAAGCGCAGATGCAAATGCAGCTTCGAGGCATCTGAACCCGGAGGCCCCGACCGCCGTCCTCAGAGCACGACCTCCAGCAGGTACAGCCCCGCGAGGACGCTGAGGCACGGCGGGCTCACTGGAGACGCCACCGCCGTCCCTTTCGGTTTCGGGTCGCCTGGTAGTCACGCACCACACCTAAGGATAGCGATAGGCGGGGGGGAGCTGGTGGCAGATCCAGACCGGAAAGAGACCAGCAGCCGCGCAGACACGCGAGGCCCCCGGACGGCCAGGAGGGGGCGGCCACCCGGAGCGTAGCCGCCGCGACCCGGGCCCCGCGCGCCGCCGCCCCCCCGCCCCCCCCCCCCCCCCGCCCCCCGCCCCGACTTCCTTCCCGGGCGGCGGCGGGGACGGCGGGGACGGCGCGGACGGCACCATCCTGCAGGCTTGCGGCCCGGGACGCGCGGCGGCCGTGCGGGTACACGTGTGGGGCCGGCTCGCGGGCCGCGGGCCAAAGTGGCCGCGGGGCGGTGCGCGGTCTCCGGAGGCCACGCGGGAGCCTGCGGGGGGTTGTGCGGGAGGGCAGCGTGCGGGCCCCGTACCGGAGTTGCGGAATGGCGAGCCGCGCGGGTGCCAGGGGCCTGTGCGTCTCCCGGAATGGGCCTGCCTCGACCTCAGGTCCCTGTTTCTCAGTTGGTTTCAGCCCTTACCGGGCAGCAGTGGCTTCGGGACGCGCGTGGGTGAAGCACTCAGAGGACAGACGTGCTTCTCCCTTCCCCTCCCATTCCCCCTCACCTTCTTCCTTCCCTCTCTGCTCCCTTTCCCTGTACCTACCCTAACTATGCTCCCTCCTCCCCTGACTGTGCTCCTTCCTCCCTTGCCCTTCCCTCTCTTTTCTCTGCCTCCCCCGAGCTCCTCCGTCCGTCTCCCTGCTGTGCAGTAGTCTTGACCTGCACCCCACAGCGGTTAAGGTTGGGGTGCTGACCTTGAAGCCTGTGGGAAACCAGGCTTTCCAGCTTCTGTCTCTTCCTGTTGATAGAGTTATAGGTTACAGGTGACATAATCAATAGTGGGTAACCAAGGTCCCCAGTGCCTGCTCACTCTTTGCAGGCTAGTCTTCTGAAGTAATAGTTTGGGGAAATTATCACTTTCCTTTAGACCTCTGGCCTTTCTTAGGATCTCAGAGTGGTGTCAGCTCAGTTCTTCTGTGCGGTGTTGCTCTCATCGTGGCCTTCGGTTCAGAAACAATCTCCTTACCTGAAGTTCAAGGCCCTTCTGGGCTCTCTTGCTCGCTCTTGTTACAAAAATCTTTTTGGTAGTAGTAGTAGCACTTGGCACTTTTCCTAGTTTCTCCCCATATAATTAATTCAGTACTCAAGAGTTGATAACTTCTGTCCCATCTTGGGGGGGGGAAAGGCAAAGGGGAGGAACAGATTACCTGGTTGAAGTCAGGGTTGTGACAGCTTCAGATGCTTGCCTTCTTTGGAATCCAGCTGACATGAATAATCCTGTGTGATCTTGGACAAGTTCCCTAAGTTCTCTGTAAGGTGGGATCTTACTGTCTGCCTTGGCCAGGAGTAGGCCGCGAGTGATATGATGAGTATAAACTTTGTGTGTATGGAATCTGTTAGAAGATCAATAAATGTCTCTTTTTCCCCCTTCCTCCCTCCACTGACTGTTTTATAAGGGAGAGAGAGGTTAGGGACAGACCAGTTTGTAGACCAGACAGGTAGAGTGACTTTAAAAACATCCTATATGCAAAAGTAGTAAATAAGTGGCATATTGGGAATGTGAAGCAGTAGCTGCTCAATCCAAGCTTGTGAAGTAGTAAATTTCTTAACATTTTTCTTACGACTGGAGACTGTCTGGGGTCTGTGTTTTTGTGATTTCTGATCGATAAATGTAGCCAAAGTTGCCTCTGTTTGGAGACCTGAAGTTTTAGTGTCTTCTCGGGTTGAAGTAGAGAGCAGATTTACCAGATGCTTTTCTCAGCTGCCTTCTTGCTGGGTTTTTCTTTCAGATCCAACATGAGCGAAGCTTCCTGCAAAAAACGTGATGACTATTTGGAATGGCCTGAGTATTTCATGGCAGTGGCCTTCTTATCAGCACAGAGAAGCAAAGACCCAAATTCCCAGGTAAGTGAATTTCACGGGAGAGTGTTTGGATAGTCACACACAGTGACATGCACACGAATGAGCAGATTTTTTGGCTTGTTTACTTAAAAATGCAGAGTATCTGACATTGTTCCTTTCTTTGGGATGCCACACCATTCTCTTGCTCCCCAAGCCAAATCTTCCCCTCTCTCACTCCTTGCTCTCTGTTTTCTTCTTTCTCTCTTTTTCATCGTTTCTCCCCCTTCCCTTTCTCTAATATAAAATAAACTTGTATTTAATATCCTAAAAAAAATAATGCAGGCCTCTTGTGGCTATATTCCTGTGAGAGTTGAATGTTGCTTGCTTTAACTGCCTTTTCTGCCCCCTGGGGCTGGAGGTTCACTTTTTTTGGCTTGTGGGCGCTGCCACAGAAAACAGGCAAGGCGATCCAGAGCCTTCAGGATCTACAGCAGCTGCTGTCTGTCTGGCTCTGTGAGTCCTCTGGTTTCGGTCACTCTGCCTCCCCAGTGGCAGACCACTTACAGTCACCAAGCCTTTGGAGTATTTCCCTTTAGGTTGGAGCCTGCATTGTGAATACCGAGAACAAGATCGTCGGGATTGGGTACAATGGAATGCCCAATGGATGCAGTGATGACCTGTTGCCATGGAGAAGGACAGCGGAGAACAGGCTGGACACCAAGTACCCCTACGGTAGGGCGCATTTCAGTTCCGCTCTGCCCAGTGACACAGCCTGGAGAGGGCTTGATTAAGGAAGCTGGTCACAGGCGTTCTCTCTCTTTTTTAGCCATCAACAACCAGAAAGAAAAAAGTACTGTTGTCCTGTCCCCTTAGGTTCTCAAAAGAGCCATGGTGGCTGGGGCAGGCTCTGTTGCCTGTGGTGGTCAGCAGGGCTTCACCAGCAGCCTGCATGACACCAGAGCACTGATGGTGGCCTCTGTGCAGGGGCCACAGACTTTTGCAGAGATAGCTAAGGGACGTGCATTGTGACTTCGCAGGGTCACCTAACCAAGTGCTGCCGGGGCTTTGCTCTGATGAGGATGTGTTGCTGAAACTCATCTCTGGGAGGTGGGAATCAAAGTGAGGCCTACACATCCAGAAATAGATGCTACAGTTGCTTCTTCCCGTTCCAGGGCCTCTGCAGGCCAAAAGCCAGAAGTGTGGAATCAAAAACCTTTGGTTTGGCCCTCTCTGGATTTTCACTTTCAAATTAGGAAAAGGTGCTTCTTAGAGTGTATTGCCTGTCTGGGCCCCCGGAAGAAAAACCCTTTCAGAGGTCATCTGGGAGAGACACACCACAGCTTTACTCTTCCTTTCTTCTGGGGAGAATACTCAGTTAATTCCAGAAAAGAGGCAAATTGGATTGCATAGACTTGGGCACTGATTTTTCATAATGTCAGGCCCTATATTTATGTCTGAAAATGAATAGCCTGACCCTGTTGGAAGTGAAATAGATCAAGGTCATTCAAATAGGAGAGATTGTGTCTTCAGGAAATCAAGTTCAAGCCATGATGTGAGACCTTTTTTCTTTGTTGATTCTTTCTTTGTAGGTTTTCCTCTGAGTTTTCCCACGAAGAATTCCAAGTCTACTTGGAATTTGCTTTAATTTATCTATTTTCCCTAATGTTCCTGGACTTTAATTATTATTATTATTATTTTTTGAGACAGAGTCTCACTCTGTCACCCTGGGTAGAGTGCCCTGATGTCATAGTTCACAGCAACCTCAAACTCCTGGGCTCAAGCAATCCTCATGCCTCAGACTCCCAAGTAACTAGGACTACAGGTGCCCGCCATGGTGTCTAGGTAGTTTTTCTATTTTTAGGGGAGATGGGGTCTTGCTCTTGCTTGACCTAGTTCTTGTCTAGAACTCCTGAGCTCAAGCAGTGCACTCACCTTTGCCTCTCTAGTGCTGGGATCATAGGTAGTATTATAGACCACTGCTCCCAGGTCAGACCTTAACTATGTTAAATAAACCTCGTATGTTTCTTTTTTTAATGGCTTAGGAGCAATTCCTCCACGTTTGAAGGAAAAAGATACCTGGAAAGAGAGGAGGAATTGAGAAACGTAGGCAGGCAGAACTGCAAAGCACTCAGGGTCTCTGGGTGTAAAAAATAGTGTGATTAAGGATCAAATAGTCCTTTGGTCAGTTTAATGTCACCCGTTGTAGGAGGGGGAGAGAGGATCAGCTGTTACAGCTGATGGCACTGAGTGATGTGATATGCATGCTAGCATATTTGAGGAACTTTCTGTCATCCTGATTTCAATTCTGTGAGCTTTGGATAGTGAAAAAGAGAGGAAATGATTACTTGTTTTTAGGTCCAAGCAAAGACGATTTTTCACAGTCCAGTTCAATGTCCCATATAAAAATGGTGAAAGTGAGAGTCAATACGGTAAAGATCTACATTGAAATGTCTTGACTGCCACGGTCAATATCTCTCCAAGTCAAGACAGGGAAGTATTGGTTCTTGCGCTGAACTCAAGACATGGAGGAATTTGGAGGAGATGTTAGTCTGTTGTATTCAGGCTGGTTACAAAAGATCCCAGTTGTTCGCCTGGTAAAGAGGGGTACTTGGTGATCCCCAAGTGACTCTCCCACCTGGTCCTGTGCCTTCTTAGTCATCATGAGTCCAGCCAACTTGATTGTCAGAAGGCAGCAATTCTGGAGATCAGTGAGAGTAGCCTCTCAATTCTGTTTTGCCTCAGTTACAATTCTAATAATTTTTATAATGAAGTACAAGGAAACTTAGAAAATTTTTGGCGTGGCACCTGTGGCTCAAATGGCTAAGGTGCCAGCCATATACACCTAAGGTGGCGGGTTCGAATCCAGCCGGACCCGCCAAACAACAATGATGGCTGCAACCAAAAAATAGCTGGGCGTTGTGGTGGGCGCCTATGGTCCCAGCTACTTGGGAGGCTGAGGCAGGATACTCACTTGAGCCCAGGAGTTGGAGGTTGCTGTGAGCTGTGAAGTCAACGGCACTCTACCCAGGGGGACAGCTTGAGGCTTCGTCTAAAAAAAAAAAAAAAGGAAGAAAGAAAATTTTAACTTTACCTGACAGGAAGAAACATCAAGGTAGTCTTGGCCAGGTGAGGAGGCTCGCACCTGTAATTCTAGCACTCTGGGAGACCGAGGCAGGAGGACTACCTGAGCTCAGGAGTTTGAGACCAGCCTGAGTGAGAGTGAGACCCCCGTCTCTACTAAAAATAGAGAAACTAGCTGGGCATGGTGGTGGATGCTATAGTCCCGGCTACTCAGGAGGCTGAGGAAGGAGGATCGCTTGAGCCCAGGAGTTTGAGGTTGCTGTGAGTGATGGTGACACCACGGCACTCTAGCCAAGGCGACAGAGTGAGACTGTGTCTCAGGAAAAAAATAGTCTCCATTCTAACAAGGCAAAACGTTTAAACAACGTAAAGGTAATTTTCACTTTAACAAAATATCTAAGAATCATCAAAGTAGCCTTAATTGTACCAGTGTCACAACACCTATTGTCTATGTGTGACTACTTCCTCCAAATCTCCTGGGACAGACATCCTCCCAATCATATGAGTCATTAATCACATGATTGATCGCAGAAGGTGTGTGGGGAAGGCCGAGTTCAGCTGTACTGCTTCACCTTAGCTTCTCAAACTCCATCTTGCAGGCTGCTTTTCTGGCTTACATTATGAGACATTTCCTTTTGTCTAAGTTGGAGAAAATACCTTTCAGAGCCTCTTTCCAGAAGGAAATTAAGAAAAAAAACCCGAAGCAAGCCTTTGCCCGACTTCACTGATTGTTTTTTATTGAATAGCTGCTGAGTTTCTGGGCACTGGTTGTCCATCTGCATTATTTTTTATCATCCGTATGATATTTCTGGATTCTCAGAGCTCCTTGCCCTCATCAATTATTCATTTTATATGTAGCTGCTTTAGAATGTAGACAATTTTCTTTCACAAGAGTAAGATTGTAATTTGATGTACCATAAAAGTCATGGAAGGTATTAAATGGTTTTTAAAAGGCATTTAGTATTAGTACCACCATAACACAGGATGGGCTTTGAGTCTGCCTAACAATGACGGAGTATAAACTGCACTCCCAGTCTGATCTTTTCCAGGCTTTACAGGCCACAGAGAAGTAAATGTTTGAAATGTTTGGTGATAATCAACTAGAGCACTAAACAAAAAAGAGTACCCTCCCCCCATATATATATATATATATATAT